TTTTGTATTCTTACCTGTCATATTTACAATATGTTTTATCATGCAACATACTATTAAGTTAAGCAATATTTGTACACACGTCATTTGCCTATAAACATGAACGAATATGAATGGTTAATGTGAAATACAAATTAGATTTAACTATTGCATTTATGATTAATAGAGTGAAGGTATATATATTTCTATATCAATATTTTTTAAGCAATTACGACCTCTTTTACCTTACTATGTTTGTTTTATTGATAATATTAATGTATATACGAGCAACTAACTTCCCTTTTTTGCCTGACTTTGTTTTTGACAAAGAACATACCAGATGCTGGTATTTGTTGTGTTTCTCCGAGGGAGTCGGTACGGAATAAGTTTAAGGAATTAAATATTATGACACTATCTGGTCAATATATTCTTGAAGCCTTGCTTTAAAAACTAATGGTGACTTTCACTTAGAACTAATTTGAGTGTACGACCAACCAGGCTCCAGAACATAAACCACTCCTTATATGGAAATTGTATTCGTTTTTACAACAAACTCCCAAGCGAAATTAGAGAATTATCACTAAATAAATTCAAAGCCCTCGTTAAACGTAAATTAATCAATAAAGCTTTTTATAAATTTGACGAATACTTAAATGATCCTAATCCTTGGGATTGATTTGCTCCAGTTTACAATTTTGTATGACTTAAATCTTGCGATGAAAAAGAGTGGCGGAAAGTTTCTTGCCAGTTCCTCTTGCCCGCTCTACGCAAATATAAATAACTGGTAGTAAATGTTAATTTACAATTAATGTCACTTTTTTTTGGACGTTCATAAGCGTACTTGTTTACCTAGGTATATGAATAAAGATATTTTAAGTTTGAGTTTGAAAGTGGTCAAGGTCAATGTTCAAGATGAAGGTTGAAATTTACTCAGACTTAACTCAAATAGCTTTATTAAAAATATTTTTTTTTATGAAATTTGGTCTTTGATTTCTATGAATTTCGTGGCACTTTCAAGTCTTCGCTGCTTTTACGCATCGTTATCTCTCACTGAAAATTACGTTATACATTATAATAATTAAAGTTGATATTCAAAGTTTCTTAAATAACTACGTAATTCGTAAAGAAAGTAGAAATATTAATTAGAGTAAGAACATAATATTAACGACACTCTTACCTATTTTAAAAGTAGTTTCTTGTTTAAATATTTATTTAACAGGTGGTATAATTTCCTATTGTTTTGTTTTGTTAGCCATAGAAGCCTAAGAAAAGAAAAACCGAATATATACGTAACTAATGTATTTGGGGTGAATCGTATGACTAACAACAATTTCATATGGTATAATCATCTTAAATTCTTATATTGTTGTATATTTGTTTATTTGTATGTCGGCGCTTCCAGGAAAACTAACAACAAAAAAGGTCTTACCTTAATAGAAAATAGTGAAACAGTTATGAAAACGTATCTCATTACATTAATGGACCGAAATATGCAAGACCTCGTGAAACGCAAAGTCAATGTCAGTGAAAGAATTCGTATAAGTCGACATTCGGAGCTGAACAAAACATTGTATCTCGTGACGTCACTCAGAAGGGTATTGTGAAAAGCGTGGTTTTCCTAAACAACAAAGACTCCGCTTTGTATGTGAGTGAACAAGTTGTTCACATCTTTCAATTTGTAGAGCTCCCTTTTTATTGCCGAACGATTGATACACGTTTAATAGATTTCTTTTATCTGTCAATCTATTTATTATAACAAAAGAAATAAGCTTTTTAAAATATAATGTGAGGTCAATGATGTGAGTGGAAAACCAAAGAAAGTATGTCAAAATCACCTTGTCGTGTCTTAGAGCAACCTCAACCACAACTTCCCCCCCAAGGTCCAAGCCTTGACGTGGCGGGGGGGCTCTAGTACTTGGAGTGCAAGCCAGCACTTTAGGGAAGCCGATTGGACCGATGGGAAGGTTCTCAGTAGGCTTCTTTAAATAGAAGAAACTTGATGAACAACAGGTGCGTGAAGCACGTAGAAGTAGTGTTCTTTGAGGGAAGGTGTGCGTCATCTATTTTCGCACGTGGGATGGCCGGCTTGCAAAGCCAGCGTTTTTGGTGCATCATGTTATCTGGGGTGTAAGCCAGCACCTTGGGGAAATGTATGGACCGAACTTTTGTAGTAGCCTTTAAAGGCAAGAGGTGCGTTTTATTGCGTACGTGGGATGGCCAGCTCGTATAACTGGCGTTTGTGAATATCAAGAGCATTGCTCTTGGCACACTGTATTTGAAACTTGTGGAGTTGCCAGACTTCCATAGATCACGACCCCAGGTGGCGAATAGGGGTCCTCGCACTCGCCCGCGGGGGTACCGGTTGGACTTCCGACATCCAACTGGCGTGGACCAAAACTGGTGGGCTCAGGGCGTGCCCCCGGTTCAATTTTTGAATCGGTAACGACCGGTGTTGAGCGCATATTTTTGCGTTGAGTTGGTGAAGAGCTTGCGTGTCTTTTTACATTTGTAATGCTCAGTAGCTTCTGCATTTTGTAGATGACCTTCTAGGTCAATGGCGCGACGGATCTGGTGACTGCGATAAGCAGTTTCTGGGTGGATTTCGACTCTCCGTCGGGCAACCTGTTACCTCCTGCGTGTGTCGTTGTCATGTCTAGCGGCATGCTTGTGGCCAGGGGGGCTTGCCTTTATTGGCCGGCCCTGAGAGAAAGGAAAATCTCAATAAAAAACCCTTAAATTCCCGACATTGGGGCGCCTTGTAGGTTTTGCGCGGTGTCGGTTACCTGTATTTACAGGTGGCTGGTGAGTAAAGTCAGTCGCTAGCGGCCATCCCTCGGATACCACCCGTCCTCCGAGTGGTATAAGGGTTACCTAGGTGCAGGGGGCACCACCTGGGTGGACTGTGTATTTCCCCCATGGAAAATAATTTATGAAATGACAACAATAAATAATCTAATAAACAAAAAAACCAAATCAAAAGAAGATGTTAGTGTGGAGATGCCGTGTGATGCGGCTGAGCAGGAGGCTGGAGTGGCAACGGCGGGCGATCAGTTTGTTTTGCCAGCGCCCCCCAGTGATATTATGTTGGAGTGCCCTGAGATGTCGGATTCTTCCACATACTCAGGTGTTGAAGCAAGGGAGTCTTTGACAGTTTCATCGCGGTTTTGGAGCTCCCGGAAGCGTTTCAGAGAAGTCGCTGACACTGATTCAGATATCGCAAGAGAGGCGACTTCAAAGATAACGCGGCGTAAAGGCAGAGGTCGGCCATCCACTAAGGGCGAGAATGTGGATCCGGTTCCTGCTAATAAGTCTGCCAAGTTGAAAGAAACTAGAGCTGAGAAAAAGGCTCGCGAGGAAGAAGAGCTTTTGGCCTTGGAAATTAAAGCTCGAGAAACACAATGTACTCTATCTTCTGTCTTGGTGTCGGAACAGGGCGAGGATATGTCATTGGATTTAGTAAAGAGGATTGAGGCTAGCCTGGGAGTTGTTGAAAAGGTCGCCACAAAATCGTCCAATATCAAAGGACAATGGGTCCATATGGCTAAAAATGCCATTGCGGACATGCGGAAGGATATTGGGGTGCTTGCTAAACGTTCAGTTTCTGAGGAAACTCGATCTCTGCGTGAAGACAATGAGCGCCTCAAAAAGCAAATTGAGATACTCCAGCAGGATATGACGGATCTTCGGAAACATTTTGGAGTTAATTCAAAGGAGCCATCGCTCACTCCTTCTCTCCTCGAGGAGTTTGAGGCAAATCTGATGCGCCGTATCGGGGATAGATTAAATGCACGGTTTGAGAGTCTAGAGCCTAGGCTTAATCCTGCACCTGTATTAAGGCCTTCTCTAGCCGCGGACCGACGCAAAGTCGTTGGGCCCCCTAGATTTGAGTCAGGTCAATCCCAGACAGATATTAGACAGGTGAATAGTAGCTTGGTGCAAGCAGCATCTACTGCTTTGCCCCAAGGACCATCCTCTATTTCAAAAAAGAAGAAAAATAAAAGAATTGCAGGAGAGGAAATATTGGCCATTGAAAAGGTATCTGCTATTATTCAGCCCTCGCCTCTGCAATCGGCTTACAACCTTTCTAAGGAGCATTGGTTGATTGTTGGGAAAGGAAAGAAAAGGAAAAGGAAGAAAAGGGGAAGGTCAGGTGCTGTGTTAGCTCAACCAACTGTAACAGGTTTTCAGGCACCAGTTAAAAAGCCAAGACTACGTACTCCCCGAACAGCTGCTGTTGTTGTAACTGTTCCGGCGGAAGTTCAGAAAAAAGGCGTAACATATGCGGAGGCTATTAAAGAAGCGAAAGGCCAGATTAGGCTAGAAGAGTTGGGAATTGAAGCAGTTAGGTTTAGACGTGCCGCAACTGGTGCTGCCATTATACAAGTCACTGGTGAAGGTGGAGGAGATAAAGCAGATGTTCTGGCTAAAAAATTAAGGGAGCTGTATGGTACGAAGGGCATCCTTGTATCGAGGCCTGTTAAATCTGTTGAGGTAAGAGTATCAGGCTTAGACGATTCTGTTACTGCTGACGAAGTAAAATTCGCTGTGTGTAAAAAAGGGGAGTGTTCATCCGATCATGTTAGAGTTGGTGAAGTTCGTCAGGATAAGACAGGTCTCTTTGCGGTGTGGGTGAAATGCCCGGTGGAAGCTGCGAAGAAATTGTCTGAAGGTCGTCTGCTTGTAGGCTGGACTTCAGCTAGGGTGACGGTGCTGCAACAACGAGAACTTAGGTGCTTCCGCTGTTTGCAAGCTGGTCATGTTGGAGCTCGTTGTACGGCGGAAATAGACCGTAGTAAGTCTTGTTACCGGTGTGGCCAGCCAGGCCATCGTGCTTCTGTTTGTTCATCCAAACCGCAATGTCCTCTGTGTATTGCGGCAGGTAAAACAGCTGATCATCGACTGGGGGGGGAAAGCTTGTACGGCTCCCAGTCAAAAGATGCCGAGAAGATTCAACACGAAAGTTTCAGTAGAACCAACCTTGAGCGGTGACATAATGGAGACCCAAGAAATTGTTATAAGTTAGTATGGATCTACGCTTTATTCAATCTAACCTGAACCACTGTGCAAGTGCTCAAGACCTTTTAATTCAGAGTTTGACACAGTGGATCGTTAATATAGGGATTGTTTCAGAACCATACATGGTTCCAGATAAAAACAACTGGGTCGGTGACCGTGATGGTCTTGTTGCGGTTTTTATAAATGATGTCAACTTGCTGTCAGTTGCTTCAACAATGCAGGGTAGAGGTTGCGTTGCTTTAAAAATTGGCAGAATTGCAGTTATTGGTGTTTATTTTTCCCCAAATAAAACGCTTGCTGAATTTGAAACGTTTTTGTCCGAACTGGGCTGTCTTGTTTCATGGTGTCGACCCCTCGATCTTATAGTCGCTGGAGATTTCAATGCTAAATCTACAGTGTGGGGGTCTCCAGTATCTGATGAACGTGGTGACGCTTTGTTGGATTGGCTTGCAACTCAAAATTTAGTGTCACTGAATCGGGGTAATGTTCAGACTTGTGTACGTATGAATGGTGGCTCTATTGTGGACGTTACTTTTTCAAGTCCTGCTCTTGCAAGTCGTGTTTATGGATGGAGGGTGTTGTCAGAAGTTGAAACTTTATCGGACCACAAGTACATTCGTTTTGATATCCTGGATTCCACTGTAAGCTTACCGGGTCCTGCTTTATCTGAGATAGGTCCTAGATGGTCCCGAAAAAATCTAGACAAAGATGCGCTTACCGAGGTATCCTTAGTAGAAGCTTGGAATCCCAAACCTTCAAATTTTACAATTGATTCTGAGGTAGAATGGTTTAGGGACTCACTGACTCGTATCAGTAACGTTGCTATGCCCCGGATCGGTCCCATCTCACCCAAGCAAAGCGTCTATTGGTGGTCATCTGAACTAGCCCGACTACGAGGGGAGTGTGTTAAGGCGCGTCGCCGTTACACCCGTTTTAGAAGAAGGCATCTCAGTTACCGTGATCCGGACGAAGAGGCAAGTTTATATACTTCTTATCAAGAAGCAAAAAGGGCTCTTCGGTTGGAAATAGCTGAAGCAAAGGATAGGGCATGGAAGGAGCTCCTGAACTCTTTGGATCGTGATCCTTGGGGGCGACCGTACAATATTGTCATGAGTAAACTCCGTCCCTGGAGGCCGCCGCTAACATCCACAATGGAGCCGACGTTTCTAAGGATGGTTGTTACATCGCTGTTTCCTTGTGATTCTACTCCTTTTATTAATGTTGACTTCGATCATTCAGAGGATATTCCTGAGGTGTCAGAGGGTGAGTTAGGGGCTGGTGTTTTTAAAATTCAAAACAAAAAAACCGCTCCTGGTCCAGATGGATTGCATGGAACGGTTTGGGCGCAATCTCTTAAAAATGGCTTATTTAACAGATTTCGAGATCTCCTTTCTGATCTTTTGAGGAAAGACATATTCCCTAATAGCTGGAAAGTCGGACAATTGCTTCTTCTTAGGAAGTTCGGGAAACCGGTAGATTCACCTTCGGCCTATCGACCTATTGTTTTACTTCCTGAGGTGGGCAAACTGTTTGAGCGAATAATTGTCTCGCGCCTCGAGAAGCATCTTCAGATTATTGGTCCAAATCTGTTTGATACTCAATTCGGTTTTCGGCGTGGTCGCTCTACAATTGACGCTTTAGCTAAGTTAAGGGACTTGTGCGAAGAAACTGTCTCTGGGGGTGGGGTTGTGTTGGCGGTTTCGCTAGATATTGCGAATGCGTTCAATACTATTCCCTGGAGAGCGATTATGGATGGTCTCCTTTATCATGGTGTGCCTGTGTACTTACGTCATGTAGTAGGAACTTATCTCTCTGATCGATCGATCATTTATCCAAGTCGGGAAGGTTGGAGAAGCTATCAGGTTCGATGTGGAGTTCCACAGGGGTCTGTTCTTGGGCCCCTTTTGTGGAACATTGGATTTGATGCTGTCCTTCGAGGTAGACTGATGTCAGGAGTAGGTTTAATATGTTATGCTGATGATACACTTGTGACGGCCAAGGGATGTAATTATCAGGAGGCGAGTTTGTTAGTTACTGCTGGAGTGGAAGAAGTAGTGACTCGTATAAGACAACTTGGTCTTCGAGTCGCTCTACAAAAATCAGATGTCATATGTTTCGCTAGGAGGTCACCACCTAGAGGCGCTGAGATAATAGTGGATGGTGTTCATATGGCATTAAAGTCAACGTTGAAATACCTCGGGTTGGTTATTGACGCCCGATGGACTTTCAAGGCTCATTTTCTGCCCTGGAACCCAAGCTTGATTCAACTGCAATGGCATTGGGTCGTATAATGCCAAATATCGGTGGGCCAGGCGGGGGCATACCGTACCGTATCCTGTGACGCGGCATGTGTCATAGCCGCCACTCCGCCTTGGCATTTGGAAGCTTTGGCTTTGGGTAAAATTTTTTGGAGAAGAGCTGAAGCCAGGAGTGGTGGTTTTGACCCACCTCTGGAGGTAGTCAAGGTCTGGAAGGAGGAGTATCGCCGCCTAATTTTGCTAGAATGGAGGGATGAGTTAAGTGAATGTCGGTTTGGTTTACAAACCGTTGATCTTATTCGTCCCTTTTTGAAACACTGGGTGGACCGACGGTGGGGATCGCTTTCCTATCGGCTCGTTCAGGTTCTCTCTGGGCATGGATGCTTTGGGAGTTACCTGCATCGAATCGTTGGAAGAGAGGCGACACCTGCTTGTCATCATTGTGACTGTAGAGAGGATACGGTGAGGCACACTGTTGAGGAGTGTCCGGCTTGGGACGGCTTTCGCTCGGTCCTTGCTGATAGCATTGTTGGCAATCTGTCGCTTCCACTAATTATCCAAAGAATGGTGGAAGCTGACAATGACGGCCCTTGGAATGCCTTCAAGGCTTTTTGTGAGGCCGTCATGACTGAGAAAGAGAATGCGGAGCGTCAGCGTGAAAATAATTCTGATGCTCCGCCGGTAAGAAAACGACGGCCGGGGCAGCGACGCCGTGCTTTCGCACGTCTGCCCTAAGTTAAGATGCTGATGATTTGTTCGTGGGAGGAGTCACGTTGATATTGTGGCATTCGCGTTTGGCGGGGGTAAGGATAGGGCTTAGCTGTTACCTGCCTCCGCCCTTTGGCGAGCCGAAGGCATCCGTCAGGTTTTAGTGGGTAGGTGTGAAGATATTATGTCTGAGTCCCACATAATCCCTGCTGGAGTAAAATTCAGCAGGGATATGCGTAAAAGCATTTCCTGACGTTAAAAAAAACCTCAACCACAACTTGAAGTGACGTATAAAATAATCACGGTAATAAAATATCCCTGCTTGACTACGGAGCTGGTAAATCAAGACTTGAGAGCTCGTACATAAGGCGTTCAGGCTTCTTCATATTCTAAGGTTACCTGTTGGAATACATGTAGTGAGTGGATAAATGATTTAAAAAGTTAAAAACATTGTTTTGGCAAATGAAGATTTGTTTGTTTTAAGACATAACAAATGAAGATTTCTATAGAATGTGTCCATAATATTTTCATACACAATGTATTTGGGTCATCATCATCATCCGTTTAGGTATGGAAAAAGTTTAAGCGCGCTAAGGGCCTTATGTTTATGGCTATGTTTTCTGAATAACAAACGAGGTTGAGAATTTTACAAAGCTGTTTGTTTTGTGGTGCATCATCTCCAACACTGAAGAAATTTAAATTTAAGATGTCGGAGAAGCTGATGACCGGATTTACGAACTGTCAGTTAATGTAAAATTAGAAGCATTTAATGTATTTTTTTTGACGTTCATAAGTGTACATTGTGTTACCTATATGAATAAATGATTTTTGACTTTGACTTGACTTGACTTGCGATTTCTTATCTAATCTTAACATTACAAAGTAGCAAGTGACTGCAGGAAGTGACAATGGACATGCATTAGACTTCAATTTAATTTTACGATGTGTTATCTTTTAATGTTTATATATATATATAAATCCTTTTCAATTATGAAAGAAATATATTCAAGTTTACTCATTCCGATGTTTTACGGAACTGACGTCATATGTCAGCCCGGAGAGAGATCGTGTCGGAGTAGGGAAGAATGCATAAAACAAGCTGTAGCACATGCGCACGACCCTTCTGTTCTCTCCTGTTCGCTGTTCACTGGCGAGGGTTTAGGGTTCCCTCTATGCCGATGACACCGCGCTCTATACCACCGACAAAGACAGAGGTGTCGTCGTGGACAGACTCCAGACCGCAACCACGACGCTTGGCGAATGGTTTCCGAACTGGGGCTTCGCGTCGCAGTTCTCTTTGTCAAGGGCAACCCCGGTGCTCTCGCTCAATCTCGGGTAATATTCCGCCTCAAAAAAGAGGTAGCCCTATACGGGCAGGCCATCCCTTAGAAAGTGCCCATTCCGCCCGACCTACGCTCGCCAAAACAGCGCGAGTTGAGCTGTAAAGGCCCTTCAGGCCAACAGCGAAATTCCATTCTAAAAAAAGGCACGAGTTACCCATCGTTAAAACTGTGGATTTATATAGTTATATGGTAATCAGTGAAGTAGAAACTGTACAGAGGAAATTAAAGTGTAAGAAGTGATCAACGAAGTGTTTAAATTTAATATCCAAGATCTAAATTACAGTAGTTTCTTATTAATAATTTTTTTAACTAAAATATTTAGATATTATCAATGAATAACTATTATTTTAATGGAATTATTTATTTTATATTGTGACACAGCGTGTAAAGTCTATTTTTTTTTTGTTTTAAAACCGCTATATAACATTCCGTCTTGAACCACAGAATAAAGTAAACTCTTATTGATCATTGATCAAATCTCACTTAAAACTAGTTTCAACAGATAGACGCTTAAAATACATTCTGGAATGAAATAGCTACTGGAGTAACAATTTGTTTTCAAATGTAGTCCAGGTGATCTTTGATTTGATTGACGTCTTTGAATACGGACCTTTATTTTGGTCGTAGGCAACTTGTAATAAGTAAAAACAAAAACTCAGATATGTAACGCCGTCCACGAACGAATTGTCGCTTGTCAATTTGGTCGTGACGGCGCGATCACTTATCTATCAACAACTACATAACAAAATTAGTCTGTGACTACGTAAAGCGTCAGGCTAAAGAGAAAACTTATATCAGTGACAAACATTATTTGTAGCTAAGAAATTAATTTTCAATTTATTCACAGAGTTTTCATTTTAAATTAAGAATCATGGACTTTCCAGGAAACCGTAAGCTAAGTAGACAAAGGATAAGTCCCTCTACAGAACCGGAGGTGGACTAACTCGAAACAGTACAAAATAATTAAAAATAATACTCTGGTTTGCCCTCTTTTCGCTTTCACTATAGCATTTTATTATATTGCTTATAATTATAAAAAACGGACATTTACATGATATTGTGCTTACAACCTTTTTTTTATTTAGTGTCAATAAATATATATTAAATACTAGCTGACCGGGCAAACGTCGTTTTGCCATGTATATCATTTATAATAAAAAAATAGGGGTTGATTGAAAGTTAGGGGTTGTATTTTTTTAATGCTGTATCATAAAAAGAATTAAAAAAAATAATTTAGGGGTGGACTACCCTTAACATTTAGGGGGATGAAAAATAGATGTTGTCCGATTCTCAGATGCCCAATATGCACACAAAATTTGATGAGAATCGGTCAAGCCGTTTCGGAGGAGTTTAACTACAAACACCGCGACACGAGAATTTTATATATTAGATATTATGTCAGGGAATTTAATGATTATTAGGCAATGATATGATGTTGTGATCGAGTCAATTGACCGGTGATTTTTATTGTTGCTTTGGGATTCATAATTTAAATAGTCATTGAGATTTATTCTATTACTTTTAAGAATCACAACTTAATTAGACTTAATTAGTCTTGTTATTATTTAATTGTTTTATAGTGTAGAATCATTACTTAACGAATATAAGTAAGAATATTGTTACGACCAATCAGAGCAGAGCAAATGCCTCGAGTGGGGTCGAGGCGCCATCTTTACTTTTGGACGGTGTGTACAAGAAACGCGGGACAGTTGGACCGAGTTGGGTCTAGTAGATTGTGATTAAAGTCACACCTTTACTTAACTTGTTATTATTATTATTATTTCAAACGCTTTTCACTAATTGTAGTGAGACTGTCACTGTCGCTTTACCTAAATATGTAGTATTTACCTATAACAAAGACGTACACGTACCTTTTTAGCATGAAGGTCAGCTGATAAAGATGCTTGCCACAGATATGGGCTCCCACAGCATCCGAAGATCGAGATTGAGGCCGGCTTTTAAATGAAAATTCCTGTTAATTAATAAACCGATCACGCAAGAAATCAATGGGATGATATCACATTGTGCTGCTCCGTTACCCTCATCAAACTGACAGTCTTGAATAATACATTTCAGATCGCACTAAATCTCTTAGCTCTTGTACAATTTCATGTCTCAAACACTATTAAACTGTCAGCTTTTATGTTATACAGGTGTTTCATAGGTAGTTATATTAAATGATAACGCACAAGAGCTCAACGATATTAAACGATTTTCAAAATATCAATTAAATAATTATGTTTGTAAAAATAAAAAAAACATCATATTGTATGTAGTAAATATAAAATTGATAGTTCCCATTGACAATTTTTACAAGAGACGTTGCCGATTTGTGTTACACTGTTGTGCAAAGGGAAGAGAAATAGTAACTAGTAGTAGTGCGAAAGGAAAGGATAATATAGTATCTTGTTGTAAGGACCCCGCGCCGGACATCCCCTGCCCTAAGTTTCTTACTAAAACCTTAGTATTGTATTGTTCTAAAAGTGCATTTTATTCTAAAGACAGGTCAGGTTGTTTTTTAAAAAGAACTACATCATAAAATAATAATTTCCGTAAATTAAATACTCGTCAAAGAAAAAACACAAAGTACATCGAGTAATTTGTTAAGACAGGCCATCCTATTTAATAACGAATCAGTCGATGTACTTGGAACAAACAGCGCGTTGATAGAAAACGATGTTCAGGCGGTCAGTTAATGTTAGTCGCCGTCTGCCCCGAAACCCGAGTTTAGTTCGTAAGTCTCATTTGGCTCGCCCGTTATACCGTTTACCTATTAGCTTCTACTTTTAGTCATCGCGATTACTTGGTTATGCTTAAGGCTCAAAAATTACCTAAAATATTATATAATAATAATACACCTAAAATACCTAAAGTTCATGATTTATAAAATGAAAGCGATAGTCTTATGATTTATTATTATTAAACGATACAAAGGAAGTAACCAAACACCATTATTTACGTTTTCTACTCTTCATATTTCATATTTTAAATATTCACAAGACACTTCCGAAGATCTAAAAAGTGAACAATCGTATCCTATTAATCCTTAATATGCATATTGGCATCCTTTAAATAGAAAAATAAACGTGATTAGGTTTAAACACGTTGTGTACAAAATCGATATCAACAGTGAATCTTTACAGAGTCAACTTAAAAAGCGATTTATTTAAAGAAGCTTTCGATGTTGACTGATAAAGATATTATATTTGTTTAGATGAAATACAAAAGAAACATCCAAAGGAATATAATAAATTCAAACTCAAACTCAAACTCAAAATATCTGTATTCAAGTGGGTAACCAAGTACACTTTTGAATCGTCAAGTTAAATTAATCGTAAATTTACATTTACTACCAGTTCGCAAGTCAAGGGCGTAGAGCGGGTAAGAAGAACTGGCAAGAAACTTTCCGCCACTCTTTTAATCGCCAAGTATTGTCATACAAATTGTTTGAACTGGAGCAATTCAATCCCAAGGATTAGGATCATTTAAGTAGTCCTCAAATTTATAAAAAGCTTTGTTGATTAATTTTCGTTTAACGAGGGCTTTGAATTTATTTAGTGATAATACTCTAATTTCGCTTGGGAGTTTGTTGTAAAAACGAATACAATTTCCATATAAGGAGTGGTTTATCTTTTGGAGCCTGGTTGGTCTTACACTCAAATTAATTCTATTTCGCGTATTATA